CAACTAATAGGTGAAGCAAAGTCTTTGACTTTGTTTGGTTTCTGGCTCAAAATAATGGCTTCATACATGTTTATATGGCACCCTGTGGTTCATAGGTGTTAGTAAGCTAAAAGGTAAGGGCCCAATTCTTTTTGGCCTAGAAGACACACTCACATAATGCTTAATTTTACATGGGGAGAATTAAGGTGACAGAGGGATGGAGGCAGCAAACCACATTGTCATGTATGTACCCTATGCAACAGTCCTGCATGATCTGCACATTTACTCCAGAACCTAAAGTACAATAAAAAATATACATATATATATATAAACAACAACAAAAAACATAGCCATAAAATGTTGGCATGGCTGCCCAGAGCTATTTCTCCCTTTCTTTCGTTGAAAGGTATAGTGCCTATTTCCTCTTTATAGATGCAAAGATGAACTATTTTACCCAGTTTATCCTGGATAAGACTTATATGAATAGTGCATCTTTTTAAAAGGAAAAAGTGGATATCTTCCGGTCCCTTAATCCTCATGCCGTCACTCTAGTAGAACTCCACCTAGATTTGTTTCAGAGGAGATGAATATGTAGAATTTCAGATGACTTGGCCACCTAGACCAGCTGCATAATTCTGTGCACTGGCCTCTTCTGCAACATTAGCTAGGTTATAATCCAGCTTGTGCGGGGCATGGAAAGTTCATTGTCTCCTGAAGCCAATTAATTTTGCCTTCAGACCACTCTGTTCAAAAGTACTTTCTTATATTAGGCCATCTGACTTCCTGTGGAAGCAATATAATATAGTAAAATGGCCAGGGAAATCAGACAGGTCTGATTCATAACTGAGGGCTAAGTGGGAGACTTTGGGCAAGGAACTTAACTTGCCTCAGTTTCCTCATATGTGAAACAGAGATATTGATGGCCATCCCATGAGTTCATTGAGAAAATTAAGTGATGTAGCATTTGTAAAACATCAAAGGTGGTTTTAGTAGGTCCTTACTATATAGTAAGTCCTTAGCATGGCTGTCACATCTGGGAGTTTTGCCTTTGTGCTATTCCTTTAACCTGAATCATGCTTAAGAGGTCTATATTTCTTTCCACCTCAACTGCTATATCTTCCCTGTCTGCCTTTAGTGGTTCTTCAGTGACATAATTTGGTGAGTTTCTTCAACAAATAAATGCCATAAAGTTAGGTTTTCTTGCAGAGTGCTTCCTAGGAGAAATACAATACTTAAGAGGTATTCTTACCAATACAAAATGAAGCAGGACCATCACCACAGAATAATTTAAGGTCAGAATAATTTGTTTACTTCTTTTCTTTTTGGGGGAGCCACGTCATACCTTTGGTCAAAATAGCATGAAAATAGTATCCATGATATCGAACATTTTATTTTTGTAATTTTGATTTAGCTCTCATATATTTATTTTATAATGAATGATCTCATTATATACATAGTAATAGTCATTAGGATGAGTTGTGCTTTGTGTTAAGGTACTATCAAATTCTTTTGTGTTTTTTTGGCTTGATTTTTTTTTTGCAAAGTAATTATATATTTTCTTTTTTAAATGGTTATGTCTATATTTTCTAAAGATGTGCTTTCAGCTTTTAGCTATGCTCATCTTCTGTTTGCCTAAACAAATGTGATTTGGCAATGAAAAATTTGATCAAAACAAAGTAAATGCACACTTAAAGATATATTGCCGAAGTAGCTTAATTTGAGCTTGAATATTTTGAAATCCTTTCAATTATATTCTCATGTCTCTTGATGGAATGCAGATAGTTGGATTGAACATAAGATTATCCATATAGAAATTCCCACTATGAATTAAAACTATTAAGCATTTGACATATAACTAATTTGTTTATGTGTGTTTATTTTATCCATACATGTGATTATTGGCATTGATATTTATATAGAGAAAGAGTTAGATGTATAAAAAGCACTATGACTTTTTTACCTCAATAAGTATGTAATTTTAGACATTGTATTTTGGAAAATTAAATAATCTAGATTACTTTGATAAATATTTATTTACATTGTTATCACAGTTGTTGAATTAGTTTTACCAAGTTTTTTTCTTCAACAGGACTACCAAAAAAGGTCTAAAAAATGTCTGTGCCTTATAGTTCTGAACTTAACCTACAAATTGGCAGTAAGAGACTTGTAAAACTCATATATGGGGTCTGCGTAGTGTTAATGTTTGAGATTTATTTCCCCCAAAAGGTTCATAAACAGTATGGACAAATATATTGCACTCTGCAATTTTGATATGATCATAATGTAGGATGGGCAGTTTGACAGGTTTAAATAAACGTTTAAATTAAATTTGTTAGGCATTCTGCAGTAAGAGTCCTGTTACTGACTAGCATCAATTTATTTTTACTGAACATTTTCCAAAGAATAATGACATATGTCCCTTCCAAAGAACTGAGTAAGAAAGCTATTGCAAAGTAACACTGAATTATTGTCTTTTCTGCCATTAGTTGGTAGACTTGTCCATTTAAGAAGCCACATCTATTTTCAATCATTAAAATATGCTTTATATCCCTAAAGCATGCAATCTCCAAATGACTTTCTTGAGCTCACATAATTTGGGACTCTTGTTAATTCTGCAAAGCAGTTTGCTGCTTGTTGATGCCAGTTTTTACTGTCAAGGATTATCTGTTTTACCTAGTCTTTTGCTTTTGGTTCACGCTTCTTACTTCAGGTTAAAAATAATGTATACCCATTTTTGTAATTTATTTGTTAAGAAATATCATCAGCTATGCTCAGACTCTATAAAGATAGATATGACTAGGTCATTTTCTCTATGAAGTTCACCTTTCAGTCAGTAAGATAATCACAGATAGAGCTATTTATGAAGTAATAAATACTGTAACAGGACCATGTACAGAGTACAGTGGAAACACAGCTGAGGGTAAAATAAGTTTCATGATTCATTATGTAACATTGTTTTCAATCAGTGTTGCAAAGCACAAAAATAATTGTTGAAGACGTGTGTGGGAAGAGAAATATGTGAAAACAGTTAAGCTCCTTAGTGAAAGTTTTAATAACAAATATTCTTAAGTTATGCTTTTTCATCAGATTATGAGGACATATCTTTTTAGTTTGAATGTGATTATTCCTGCATAGTCAATTTTTGTTAGTGCTAAATATCTCTCATTTTAAATTCAGAGATGCCTGTTTTCTTTTTATAGGGGACCAAATCACAACATGTTCATGAGTACATGTAATCTTGGTTGACACCTTTTAAAAATATATAGCTGGATGTAATTTGAAACAATTAATTGATTTGTTTGTCTATATGTTGAGCATCTATCATGTGCTAGGTACTTTACTAGAGATGGATCTTACTGTCATGGGGCTTGTAGTCTAATTATAAAATCCCTGGAGCATAAAAGGTTGTTGTGATATTTTTTGAAATGTTTACTCAGGAATATGTATGTAGATGTGTAGCAACAAGCAACATTTTGTACAGAGGTATCACCAGAGTAAAAACAGTATGTATCAAGTTTTTTAAAAAAATTCGGAATTGTTCCTTTAGGTTGATATTCCATAAAGGTTTTTGTACCTTTGGAATTCAAATATGAACAAATGAGAATAACTAGATCGGTAGCTACAACAATGGTGTCCATCTCACTTTATGGTTTCAAAAGTAAAGCAAAGGATACTCAATGAAATTTAAAACATCGAAAGTATGTCTCCATGCTAGGCCATGACTAATAGGAGTATGGAATTGTCAGTTTGATGTTTTCTTGGTTTATGATTATTTATGCAGCTGTTACTTAACTGACATTCATTTGGAGTTGAGTGTTGGAACAAGCAATACATTAGATTAAGTGTACCCAAATGTGTGCTGTAGAGTTGTTTCATAATGTGTATATCTGATGTTTTTTATCCTCCATATGATACTTCTTAAAGAGAGATTATGCCAGTAGCAATTAGGGAATTGTTTTCCAGCCTTTTTTCTTTTTAATAGCCCTCAGTTCAGCATAGGCGAAAGTTGAACTGACGAGAGGAGGGCAGGAAATCTTGTTGTTTACTGCCTCCAACTCCCCCCCAACTATCCTTCTAAACTGCCCACATGCAGGATAGCTCAAATGTGGTATCATTACTGTGGGGAGGAGCAGGGGATGCTCGGGCTTCTGTTGCAAGCCAGTGTAAGAAAACATGAATTGGATGGAAAGGCTCTGGTTCTCTCTAAAAGTAAGTTAAAGAGGGTTAGGATAAGAAAACTGCTGGAGAGCTATAGAACTATAGAACTAACAGGCACGAGCAGAGACCCTTGTGGCCTCCTGTAAATGTTTTCCCTCACAATGCGTGTTCTGTAGAGAACAAAAAAGCTGTGTTCCATTTTGGTTCTATGATTCTCATATGTTCGGTCTTTACTAAAAAACTCTGATTAAGATATGCTTGATAATTGGGCATTTCGAATTGCATATTATGCATGGGCCTACCTTAAACATGTAGTTTTTTCTTTTCCCTGTTGTAAGGAGAAAAGAAATATCTTTCACTGTTCTTTTCAATTTTATTCAACCCAATAGGCAGGTAAGAATTTGAAACTCATCTGACCACTGAATTGCTTGTGAATTAAAGGTAAAACAAGATTAGAATATAACTGGCAAACTATATTGGTACCAACAGATTGCTGCTTTTCTTTTTCTTTATTTTTTACTGTACAAAAAAGAATCATATTGCATTTACATTGAAGAATATAAAATACTTTAGAAAGAATATCCTCTATCAATTAGAATTCAATAATTGTTTATGTATCTTACCCTGGATTTTTCTGCCTCACTTTAGTCTTAATTTTCATTAAAAATATAGACTATAGAGTGTAGATAGGTGTAAGACATAAAATTTGGCACATTTATCTCATATTAGACTGTAATTTTGAAAATAGTGACAGTAGTAATTTGATGCATCTGGAATTTGTGTTTCTCATATCGTCGTAGATTTTAACATTGTGTTTTTTTCTTTTTTTTCTTCCCTCCCTACTGCCCCTCTCCTCTCAACAGTCCTGGTACCTGGGCTAGCTTGGTTCCTTTCCAAGTGTCAAATAGGACACCCATCTTACCGGCAAATGTCCAAAATTACGGTTTGAACATAATTGGAGAACCTTTCCTTCAAGCAGAAACAAGCAACTGAGGGAAAAAGAAACACAACGATAGTTTAAGAAATTTTTTTTTTCTTTTAAAAAAAAGGAAAAGAGGAAGACTGGACAAAACAAAACAAAGGGAGAAAGGAAAGAAACTGAAGAAAGAAGATAACAGACCAGCAATTGCAGCACTTACAATCACTAATTCCCTTAAGGTTGAAACTGTAATGACATAAAAAGGGTCAATGATATTTCACTGATGGTAGATTGAAGCCCCTGCAACATAGCCTTTGTTACATGAAGTCCGCTGGGAAATAGATGTTCTGTCTCTATGACAATATATTTTATCTGACTTTCTAGATGCCTTAATATTTGCATGATAAGCTAGTTTTATTGGTTTAGTATTCTTGTTGTTTACGCATGGAATCACTATTCCTGGTTATTCACCAACGAAGGCTAGGAGGCGGCGTCAGAGGTGCTGGGTGACAGAGCCATGAGCCAGCCGTTTTATAAGCACTCTGATTTCTAAAAGTTAAAAAAAATATATAAAATCTCTGTAGCCTTTAGTTATCAGTACAGATTTATTAAATTTTGGCCCTTAACCCAGCCTTTTCCAGTGTGTAACCCAGTTTGAAATCTTAAAAAAAACAAAAAATGAAAAAAAAAGGAAAAAAAGAAAAAAGGAAAAAAACAGTTTGAACACAAAGGCTCTATGGAAGAAATGCCTCTATGTAGGTGAAGTGTTATCTCTGCATGCAACAGTAAAAATTAATATAATATTTTCCCCACAAAAAAAAACACTTAACAGAGGCAAGTGCAATTTATAAATTTATATCTAAAGGGGAACCATGATTATAAGTCCTTCAGCCCTTGGACTCTAAATTGAGGGGATTAAAAAGAATTTAAAATAATTTTGAACGAATTTATTTTCCCCTCAGTTTTTGAGGGCATTAAAAAGGCATTAAATCAAGACAAATCATGTGCTTGAGAAAAATAAAATTAATGAAAACACAGCACTTATGTTGGTTTAGCTGCAGCCTCCTTGGAGGTAGAATTTATTTATTTAAAATTACTGGTTGCATCAAGAACCCATAGGGTGTATAAAAGGTTCTATAAAATCTGCATTCTAGAGACAAAGAGGCAGGCAAATCCATGTCACAAGGGTAAAGCTTACAGTTTACAAACTGGGAACGCCAGGGTGTAGGATATAAGAAAACGCACTCTTGAGAAAACAAATGTAATCAGGGTGCTGAAAACTTGCATGGTGCTTTCAGACATTAGCCTTGTTCAACAAATTTCTTGTATTGACAGATCCATAGTGTGCATGGGCAGACACATTTTGCCTCTATGTCTCTTAAAATTTTAATTAAAAATACTCTTTCCAGTAATCCTAATTTGCACGAAGATATAATGTCCACATTACGTGCCTTGCCTTGAAATCTAAAAAACAAAAAACACAAAAAAACAAAAAAAAAAAAACAACAAAGTGACATCACTACACTTGTTTTGCTGCATTTATTATCATTTTAAATCTTTACCATTTTTATGACAAAATATTTTGTACTCCAGACGAAGAAAAATGTGTGACATCATGGATTTTTTAGACAGTTATACCTTTATCTCACATTTATAAAGCATATCATGGCTGTGTATAGTTGCCGCTTAAAAATTGTAATCGACCAGCAATATTTTCAGTATTTTGGTGTTTTTTTCTATTAACCTTTCATGTTTTTCATCTTCCAATTAATATTTGGGGGGAGGGGTTTCAAATTTATACGAATTATGCAATACCAAGTTTTGCCTATGTAGGTAGTGCTTTTAGCTGTATTGGTTATTATAGGTAAGTACACAGATTTAAAAAAATAATGTATGCTTTTTTGTTTGTTTGTTTGTTTTAATTGACCAAAGTGGGTACTGCTATTTTTGCAGTGTGATGAGGTCCTTTTGTGTACTGAGAGATGGACAGGGGATTTTTTTTAATATACATATATATATATTCTGGGGTGGGTGGGAGGATTTTTAACACTTTACAGTGTAGCTGTGAAGCAGTGCACCCTGAGATGGGCCTGGGCTGCAAAGCGACTGTTCTGCCTACTGTGACAAACTTCAACTTACACAGGTTCCCCTTTCTAACTTCCCACCTGGGGTGCAAGCTGAACTCATTACTGGTTTTCATAACAACACAATAGTAAGAACAAGCAAACACCACAAATTCTCCTGGAGGCAGACTTGGCTTAAAAAGGCAGACTTGGCTTGGTGATAGTTTTTCTTGAAAGTTCCAGATCCACAGTGGAGAGTGAGCCTGTCTCATATTTGGCAAAAATATTTGTTGAAATGTCCACATAGGGGATGCTGGATGTTTAACGCTTTTGGGGGTTTAACACACGAATATTCTTTCTCCTAGAAAACACGTTAGACCTGTTGGAGGGAGTCTCCCGTGTTCCTTCGCCGCCACTTTTTGTCCCCATTCCTTCATTTCATTAATGATAGGATATGATTTATCTGTGACTTACTACTTCAAATGGATGGCAGTGCACTTGGATTTTTTTTTTTTTTTTAATATCCAGAAGATTGAACAGAGGGTTGCTATTGTTGAATGTATTTGGACTGATAGATTAAAATCAAGGTTCAGTTTTTAAGGAACAAAAAAGTAAATCCTGTTTTCATTTTACCTGCCCTTTTAAAACTGAGAACCAGAAGAGAAGGGAAATATAGAATTTTAAGCAATTAATCTTCCTGTGGATTAATTAAGCCCATTAGATGCTGATGGGATTTTTTTTAAGGAATGGTACCTTAACTATATATTTGATTTCATTTCCCCTGAGGGCTAGAGGCTGAATGGAGGCTGGTTTTATTTTGCCCTTCCCTCACCCCTCAGTCCCACTGAGTGTATTCATTACTAGAAGGAAAATCTTTCAGAATTAGCGACACATGGTAGCCTGTCTTAAGGAGTCCCCTGGCCCCCTTCCCCTAGGCCATGGCCTAATAAAGTAAACTGTCAATTGTTCTCACAGCATATCATTTAATAATGAATACTTTAGAACAATGCTTATGGGCTGGAGAATCGTATTTGATTAGCCCATTCAGTTTGATAGCCCAAATACTGAACAGCACAGCAGGATCCTAGCAGTGCAAGTTCAAAAGTAAGTCCAATCATTTCCGTGATACTTGCCTTGGTAGCAAACAGATCATCTCAGCCAAGCTCTTCATTTATCTTTGACCTATTACGTGAACAAATGAACCTCACAGGACACACAGTATTTTTTAAAGGCAGACTCGCTCTCTTTTTTGCCAGTGAATGAGCAGTTCTAGCGAACCAAGTTACACACTGTGGGTATTCCTGCCTGCCTCTTGAATACAAAGGCCTAGTTCAAGTGTTGCTTTTTTATTTCAAATCAATTTTTTTTTCTTCTTTCCTTTTTGAGATAAAACCATTAAAAGTACTACTATATATATAAAATCTCAAATCAACTTTTCGGCCTCCTTCTCGTGTACCAGGAAGTATATTCTGACGAAGGGCCCCACTTTTGCAGGTCTTGCACGCCCCTCCCTTACCCAGAACTGCAGAGCTTCAGGATGGTGAAGGTTACCCAAGGGCATGGGCATGAGTAGGGGGTGGTGTCTGCAACCACCAGTTCCGTGGCACTGTCCAGCCTCTGTGCTGCTCTGCCGCCCAGCACTCCCAGTGCCTCTGAAGCGTGTTTCCCCTGGAGTGACGTGAGCATTTGCGGCTTGTCTAAGGAAAAAAATAAAAGGCAGTGAAGGAGACTGTACATAAAGACATGGCAAAAATCTTAATTATAGCAATATAGTTATCGGGTAATGTTCGGGTGGGCAGCTCCATTAAAAAATATGTGAATGAATCTGTGAAGCTGCAAGTTGTGAGAAGAGCGAAAGGTCTTCTTAATGAACCGCCTACCTTGTAGACAGTAATTTGTACACTGTATAGTTTTGTTAAGAATTTTTTTTTAAATTAAAATTCCCATGTTTGTAAAGCTAACTTTTTAACAATTATAATGGAACTATATGTTGTTTCCATTTTTAAAGTAAACAAGAATATTCCTTGTTTGGAGACTGGACTTGAGTTAAAACTCTCCAGTCTCTTAAGTTATGTATTAAAAAAAAAAAATCTGTCCATGTTAGGAGTTATTTCACAGATTCCTGTGCTTGAAAAGCATAGGATACTAATCCTTTAAAAAAGTGTAAATGGAGAAAAGTTATATTTTATGAAGGTTATTTTGTTGTATTTAGTATTGGAAAAGTTGGTTTTCAGAGCATTTCAGAATGTCGAAGCACCACTGTCTTTCTATTAGTATATACGGCCTTTAGCAAAAGTTTTTGTGATTGTTACGTGATGGTATTTAAAGTTAAGTTTCACAGAGCATTCAGGATAGGCAGAAAACTAAAACAGTGCTATGTCTCACATAACGTGTCCTCAGGGAGCAGAATCTTGGATTTGTGACTTGTAGCTTCATAAGGACTCAACGAAAGAGATTGCACAGGGACATCTTCAGCAGTGTGACAGCAGGACATGTTCTTTCCCTAGATTCAAATTCTATGTACTGTGTGAAACGATGAAGGCTGCAGAAAGTTATCCCATATTCAGTGTACAGTATTCACTTTTAATGAAACAACTCTACAATATTGCTGGCAGATAGGCCCAAGCATGACATTCAATATAGTTTACATGTTCCTGTCAAGGTCTTTTGTTAACATTAACCAGCTGCATGCTTTCTGGACTTTAAGAAATTGGGTTTCTATAGAAAACTTTTTTTTTTTTTTAATGTGCAGGCTATTCAAGTCCAATAGAAAAGCTCAAAATTGAATGTTTTACTCCATGCTGAAGGAGCTAAAAGCTGCCTTCTTCATATTTTGCACTTTCTGGTAGTTCCCCTGTTTTTTCTAATTCCTTAAAATTGT